GTCCGACCGCAAACAAGACTTCAAGAAATTCAAACTAATTTTCTCGCTCTTGGGAGGTTAATTTGACTTGAGTGAAGCCTCTCGAGTCGCTGTGAGTAGCGCCGCTAGTGAAGGAACTGGAGAGCGAGGAGCCTTGCAAAGGGCGAGTGCCGACACTCTTTACAAATACAAATGCTAAATTGGATAAGGCCTCTTTATAATTAAGACTGAGGGCTCGGCGCTCTATGCTCTTTGCAGACATTTCTCGACAACACTTCAATGAGATCAAAGCGAGAGGCTCGCTAAGTCGATTGTTCAAAGGCATAAAGCTCTGTTCCAGTGAATGAGAACACGAGAGCCTCTTTGTAACAGTTACCTTTAATGCAGTCTTGAAACAAAAGCGTACAATGCAAACGAGGGATCCAAAGCGGAATGTTTTTTTAGAGGAACTCGTCGAGATTCTCCGCATGGCGTGGGTCGAAGGCAAACACGAGTCACCTCATCAAAGAAGGCCCATGTCACTTGTTTCTAGTGACGCGGGACTGAACTCGTGACGAATTCTGTGATCTTGTTTTATTTAAACGCCTTATTAGCTACTTTAAGAATGTTATAAAGTTGTTTTTTTATTAAAATGTACTCCCATCAAAGTATTTCAACGCAGAAGATGGTTATTTCTCGTTTGCGCAAGGAAGGGGTATGCGCTTGCACTTGCAGTGAATTTTGCGCTTTCATTTGCATCGAAATTTGAAAAAAGTTTGAATATTGAAAAGTTTGAAAATAAATTTGAAATGTTATCACAATTGCTGAATAAATGCTAAGACTTGCTTCTCCTTTTCCTTAACTAGCTCCTGCTCATTTTTAATACCTCTTTTATTTGATACCGTATTACTATCAAAATAAATTAATGGATCAATATATTCTATAATACAAATATGAAATGAGACTGTTATCAAATGGTGCCTTAAATTTCAAATTTATCGTTTCGAGAAATATGTATGGAGTTTATGGAGGAAAAGTACACCTGAAATCAAAACTGGTTTCGATGCCGTAATATTTTCAAATTATGATCATTATTGAACTTTATCCCCTATAATTGAAAGAAAAGAGGAAGAGCATTATGGTCTTAGTCTTTCAATGTATGAACATTGGTCGTCTGTCTAAGAGCATAATCCATCAATATATGAGCATAAGCTGCCAGTGAATGAGCAAATGCCGTCGATGTGTGGGCATAGAACATCAATGTGAAAGCGTAGAACATCAATGCGTGAGAGTAGAACATCAATATGTGAGCGGAGAACATCAATGCTTGAGCGTAGAACATCAATGCGTGAGCGTAGAACATCAATGCGTGAGCGTAGAACATCAATGTGTGAGCGTTGAACATCAATGTGAGAGCGTAGAACATCAATATGTGAGCGTAGAACATCAATGTGTGAGCGTATAACATCAATGACGTAGAACATCAATGCGTGAGCGTAGAACATCAATGTAACATCAATGTGTGAGCATAGAACATCAATGCGTGATCGTAGAACATCAATGTGTGAGCATATAACATCATCTTATAAGCATAGGCCATCAATGTTTTCCCACAACGCTGTGTTCCAAACCTCTTAAGCCGCACAGGGGGCGGCTGCGATGAAGTCTTATGTTCGAATATTCCGTTTGATGCAGCGAAATGCAGGCTCCGGAAAAGTCCCTTGTAATCTGCACTACCTCGGGGACTTGCCTAAAAATGACGGATGGATTGACAACCAAAAACATACATCGGCTGTTGAGTAAATCCCAGCATTGGGGAAAAGCTTCCCCGGGGGATAAGAAAATCCTCGTTGTAAAGGGAGAAGCTCAGTGTTGCCGTGACTTCAGAGTTTGCGGTGCGCAGAGGTTATGTGATACTCTGATCTCAGGCCTGGCACGTTTACAGCCGCATGCCTGTACACTCAGGTCTTTACTGTTCGTGTAACGCCTTATATTCAATCTTACTTTTAATAATAAGGCAATGTACGTTAATTCATACGATACGATACGATAGCAAACCAACCACATGAAATCTGACGTTGAATTCACGTTGAAATAAACGCTGCTAGGTTTAATTAAAGTTAATTCAACGTTTTTAGCGCATTTTCTCATTTATGGAAAAAAAGGCGCTATTATGCTCGTCATGTCCGTCCGTGGCGTCCGTCCGTGGCGTCCGTTCAACGTCATTTGTCCAGTGGGCCCACGATCAAAATTCTCTTACGTGATTTTCTATCATCATGATTTGTTATAGTGAGGCGTGGCATGACTTCTATATCCCTCCTCTACAATTTTCAACGAGAACCCAGTAGCTATTCGTAACAATCGTTTAAGATAAGAACTTACAGATAATCACATCAATCTGGTTCCCTCAATTCTGAAATAATTAAAACTTTTTAAACAAATTATCACAACTTACACAGTTATGACTGGCGCATCCGACGATATTCACAGTATTTTTACGCTTTGAATATCTTCGGAATCAAGGAGACATGATTAATTTTATTATTCTTTTCAGCCCAACGCATAATTCCTCTTTAATATTCACTTGTCTTGTATAGTGATTTTTTCTATGCCTTAAAATTCTATTTCTTGAAATATTTCAATTTGAATATAGAAAAACAAATGAAGTTTATTTTCATTCAGTGTCATTGAAAATTTCTATCTGGGCATAGGGAAAGAATGCGTCATGTACATCTTATTCACCATTTATTCGATATCGATACACACACGCAGAAGCCTTAATTTAAATACATATGTACATATTATCTCCGACTCAGTTTAGTCGCGTCATTCCTTTTCTGACAGATGATAAACAAGTATTGGGATGAATTTTTCTAAAAATAATATGTTCTTCAAGAATATTTACCATAGCATCAAACACATAGTAAGATACTTTTTAAGTCAAATTGCCAGATAAATTCATTTTGAATTTTCAGGTATTGGAATTCATTTTCAGAATTTTTAATTTTTATTGATGATAGCAGTTGAAAAGACTATTGTTTTGTACATTAATAGGATAAATAAAATTCGAATTTTCGTCACGTTCACCGATGAATTTGTCTATAGCAAATTAAAGGTTGATATCTGCTTGCAAATGCAATGGTGTTTTCGGTATTTCATTCAATAAAATAAATCTTTATTGTAACTTGGTGGACTCAAAATCACTCCTAAATCAACAAGTCAAGTTTTACGTCAAGTAATCTAACCTTGAATTGATATTCAACCGATTTAATGAATGTTTAATTTACGCACCTCTTCTTCTTGCAATTTCATTGCCATTTTCGAAGACAAAAATGCATGAAATTTTTTCATCCATACGATCTACTGAAGCAAGCGTGGTTTTATGAACACCTTGTTTGGTCTGCAATAGTAACTATAATTTTAAATGTTGAACTCCAAAATACATTGTGATTGCATTCAGTAAATGTGCGTTCTTTCTCCGTACTTCTAACTTCACACGTCAATTAAGTTTTGATGATGCGACGTTAATCTAAGTTCTGTACAAACGCCAAGTTCCATAACTTATAACAACATCTACACAGGAGGGTGAGAACAACAAATTATATATACTACTCTGATCGAACGGCTTGTTTTAACTTAAATAAAACTCATTTAAAACTTGTGTAACTTATTTTCAGTTACACAGTTAATTTACACCCTGTAATTTTGAGTTGATTTTGCGGCAAAAAAGCATGAGCAAATTAATAACAAAAATTGTATGAAAACTAATTATTAATTGATTCTCATCTTGCATTCTAACATGAATCTTTAAAGTGCTTCTAAATTTGCTGGAAGTTGCTTAACTAAACATTTTACATTTTAATTTTCTTGGCGTACGATCAGCATTCAAAAAGAAAACGTCATATGAAACATGTAATGTATTCGAAATTCATTTAAACTGCAATAGATAATCTAATCTTAAAACACGGTATGACTAAATTTAAACAAAAATAAAGAAAAAGATACAGAGATTTATACATATATATTGTTAACCTGCTTACGGGAATCTATCATGATTTCATGCTATACTATTGTAGTACTACGTTATTTACAAGTCATGATACATCGATGCTACATGTATGTTACACACATATTCCAGAACATGTTGTCATATGCCTTCATAGCCAATGAGTCCCTCTACATTTTGTTGTTAAATTGTCATTATTTATTAATAAAAATCAACAATTAGACAGTGCACAGCAGTATAGGTGCTCGCGGCTGAGGTGTTATTTCCAAATGACTGGAAACAAGGTCAGCTTTGCAGTCACTCACTTCCATAATATTTTCTTAGAATTTAAATTTCGAACAATAAACGAGAAGCCAGATTGCCTGAAAAAATATAAAGACTGGGAAAAATAATAAGCCGATGCGTAAACTTATCACGAAACTCGTGCCCTAAAATCATTTAGAAAAAAATCATCATTAATTGCAAACAGAGAGAAAGTATCAAAGAAAAAGCAATTCGGATATCGCGTTGAAGATGCCTGAATGTTGAGATAATAAGATAACATGTTCGTTTCGCAGTGAATATTATCCGTTTTTATATTATTTGGATATGTTTCCAGTCTAGTTGAGTTTCAAGGTTTAATGTCTATTTCGCATGTATGTGGTTAAAAAATATAATTTAAAATAATAAGTATCCAGAGACATTGCGACAATGAACTACGTACAATTGTTAGGGTTAACTTCCTTTGTTAGGGTTACAGTGTTCGCTGTCCTGCTGGTATAGCAAGTTGGACGAAACTCAGTGCCACTGACTGTAAGTGTGACACTGACTGCAAGTGTGCCACTGACTTAAGTGCCACTGACTGCAAGTGTGACACTGACTGCAAGTGTGACACTGACTGCAAGTGTGACACTGACTGCACGTGTGACACTGACTGCAGGTGTGACACTGACTGCAGGTGTGACACTGACTGCAGGTGTGACACTGACTGCAAGTGTGACACTGACTGCAAGTGTGACACTGACTGCAAGTGTGACACTGACCGCAAGTGTGACACTGACTGCAAGTGTGACACTGACCGCGGATGCGGAACCAGTTCAAGCGGTGCAGTTGAACAGCATTGACTTGCTGAAGAAAAGTGAAGCTGCAGCGTCTGCAAGGAGGAATAAATACAAATATTAGAAAATATTGGTAAAACAAATTTTTTATACTACAAGATTCCATGGCGTAATTTTCCCGTAACAGTGTAACGCTACCGTTATGTTTGTCTCAGACGCCTCTCAAGGCACCAATTTCAGGTCAAAACCGCGGAGCAGCAGACAATCTCGCCTTTACATATACATAAACCGGCAAAAACTATTTCCGATATAAAATTTCATTTATCGTTCACTTCAACTTTCGTAAGTCGCACTCACAGACAGTATATTAAAAGTAATTCAATAAAGAATAAATTCATCGGTATTCGCTGGCTGAATACGATGAATACAGTCAAACATCTGATCCAGACGCAATGGTCTAGAGATTTACAATAGAGAATCAATTACTCACAAGTTTTTTCGTTGAATAAATAGAATCAGACTAATTAAAACCATCAGAAAGCTGAAAAACCGATACCTTGACCATTAACATTAATTGCAAATATGCAAAACGTCATGGAAGTTTCATTTTGCTGCCTCGTCGTGATCGCGGCTCAACATTTCAAGAGTGTGACTCAGCAGAATCTATGAGCGGCTTCTAACCATTGTGGTGGATTAATTAAAATATTGAATATTTCCATCACTCGATATCCGGGCCGTGGCATTGTGCTCCTCATCAACTCCCAGATGCTCTCCCCCAACTTTATTTAGCCTCAAAAGATCGCTAACAAATGCGCCTTGCGTTCAAAACCCCCGACACAAGAACCGTTCCCCCGCGTTTTTCTTGACTTTTTCCTATTTTTGTCTTGGCAGCAATGATGACTGGCGGATAAATAGATATCGAAGACTAATGAAACGGATCGGTTTCAATCAAATTCACAATAAGATATCGATTACAGTCGAAAAATGGACCATGACACGATGAAAAATGATTCCATGTATTTGAGATGCCTTTAGTGATCGACAGTCAATTTCAGATCCTTTGATGATCTTATGAGATGCTTTCTTCTGTGGTCGTTGCGAGGTCGCGTGTGATCACGAAGCGGTGTAAAAAACTTCCTCTCAGCCACAATGATATGAAAGTGGACCTGCCTTATGTAGGAAACATACGTTAGTGTATGAATCAAAGAGCTTTGAATAAAATACGTATTGGTGTAATTTTCACCGCTGTTAATTATATTAACATGAATGATATTGCATTTTCACTGCTCCGTATCTAGCGTAAAGTACTGACGTGCTACATATGCTGACAAGCGTGAATCGCATTCTTTATGATCAGTTATTCATTATCCGAAGATTTGTTCAATTTTTACTCTCAGGAGCGTCGTATAATAATAATTTTTCTTCCAGTATATTTCATGATTACATTCTACCCTCACGAATTTCTTACGCATAATTTATTCCCTCACAAATCAAATACGTATAGTATTTTCTCCTCCCGAATATCCTATTATTTATTTTTACCCCAAAAATGTCATATTTTACCCCAAAAATGTTTAAGCTCAAGAACGTCAAATTTATACAATACCGACTGTATTGCAAAAACTACATTTTTTCCAGCGAACAAGAAACAGAAATAAATTATTGAAATGTTTAAGCAGACATGAGCAATAATATTCTCGTATACATTCATGGAAAATATACGATTTGCCGAGATCATTATTTCAACTACCAAGTAATATGATTCAAACACTTATTTTTCCTACTGTCAGTACACAAGATCCATACGGGATCTTCATTATCTTCTCTACAGGAAGTTTTGCCAAACAATTATATCTTGCCATGTTCTTCGCCGCTGTATTGCTAAATAAAAGAATACCCTAAGTATTTACAAGTTCGTGGCGTAAATTTGTAAAGTTTGATTTTTGGGTCGATAACACACACCCAAATCTGAATAGGACACTGAATTCTCCATGTCAGATTCTAGCAGCAACAATAGTTTATTTAATTTACATAGGGTCTATAAAGGAGTATGTCCACATGAATGGGATAACTCACTAATAAATAATTAGAGGAATGAAGGCTATTTCATAAACCTCTTCTTTTTATTCACTGCTCCAGTGCCTGCTCAGTGCGTATAGAGGCGAACTCTCTAGTATTTCCAACAATCGAAGTATCACAAAAAGTTCAGGATTTTTATGCCTGCTGCACCCGAACATTTATGGACCGAAGAGCCGCTCTTTCACAGCGGATTAGAGCTCCAAACGAGCGAATTAAAGTCCTCTGCAATTTGCCTGTATCTAACGTCTCATTCTTGCTGCTGCAGGGAGAGAATAAATTATCAGAGGTCGCATTCGTGCTACTGTAAGGAGAAGAACTTGAAGAAATTATCAGAGGTCTTTTTCGTGCTACGGTAAGGAGAAGAAATTGAAGAAATTATCAGAGGTCTTTTTCGTGCTATTGTAGAGAGAGAAGAAATTATCCGAGGTCTGATTCGTGCTACTGTAATAGCAGTCCTACCCGTTCTACTGCATGGAGCCGTAAGTTTATCATAGTCCTTATGCGTAAGTTTATCATAGTCCTAACAGAACCAAACCTTCAATAGAATCAATTATAATATGTAATGAAGTAAGTTTCAGAATTTTTCAATCGTCCTCTTAACATTATCCAATCTTCGAAAGGACTTTCAATGTAAAAATAACATTGAATTGTTTCTCATATAAAATTTCTTTTCGTTTGCAAAATAATCTTCATCACGATGAGTTCTCTAAGGATTCCAATAGTGATACATCTTCAAAATCGATTTTTGTGCCATTATGGATGAAACAGTCATGAGAGATATTTTAGAACAGCGCTTGATAACCACTAAAAATGTTTAATGCTCCGAGATAATCGATCAACTTGTCAGAAGTCGTTGATTTCACCGAAGAGAAAATCGGCCCGATTAGGTGCTTGAGTCACACGCCACTGATTGCACTAATTGATAAGTAATGAATCGGAAGACATCCCTATCATGCATGGTCGTTTGAGATCGATTAACGCAGTTTCATGATCGTTCATCACCCGAAGTTCAATAAAAAATGCATTGTCTCAATTCAACATTAATTTTTTTAAGAATACACATATATACGCTTCATTGGTTTCCAAATTCTTCCCTCGATCCATGAATCCCCAAGCCCATTATCTATAAGAAAAAATTATGTAGAATCGCTCCACTAAGAGGCGTAAATGGAGCCATTGTTTGCTTCTGAGGCCAAAGTTGAACTTTATAATTTGTCGTGGCGGCCATTTTGTGCGGCAAGGAATGCAGCAAAGACACAGAGAGACAATTACGGCTGCGGCAGCGACAACCAGCCTGCCGCCCCCACGCCTCGGTACTGCCACGGCAGCGACAACCAGCCTGCCGCCCCCACGCCTCTATACTGCCACGGCAACAACAACAAGCCTGCCGCCCCCACGCCTCTAGCCTCGGTACTGCCACGGCAACAACAACCAGCCTGCCGCCCCCACGCCTCGGTACTGCCACGGCAACAACAACCAGCCTGCCGCCCGTGCATGGTAGCCAATGGTTGGTTTGTTTCTGTTTTAAGCGTTGGTTTTATTTTCTTTTATTTTTTTTTTTTGCTGTAGTGATTATTGCAGTAAAAGCTGTTGCAGTAGCCGTGGTAATAGCTTGCATTGGAATACCATTTTGAAGCTTCGATGGCATTACTTTAGATTAAGTGCATCCAAAAAAAGGGCGTTTTTTTGTTTAATTATAAGTTTTTTGGGGTGTAGATAAAAAATCTGAAATCCGTTTTTGGTACGAATAGAATTGTTTGCAGTGACGGATAGCAGAATTCCGATTTCGGATATGAATTCCAAAATTTTTAAAAGTGTATATATTATATATTTTATTATATAGTTGTTCTTACTGCAGTATTTTCCACTTCTTCAATAGCTTTTTATGATGCTGTTGCTGTTTTTGCCGACCCTTCTTGATCTCTGATACCCCATTTGCGGAACACTAAACGTTCACTCGTAAAAAATACCATCCTGATCGACTTCAAACTCAAGTCGTTATACTCTAAAGCAAAAAAAAGTTGTTCCAATGTCAAACTCAAATTGTTAACTTCCTGCCCCCTTTATTTCCAAAGTACGGTGGTTCTGAACTTCGATAGGGAAAAAGTTTTCGGAAAATTTCGTGAAACTTGCTATAAATCGGAGCGCGCTCTAGCAGCCATCGTCGTCGTGCGCGTAAATGATTTTAAAGGCTGACTGCACGTGCCTGATTCGACGTTCCAAAATGTCAGGGAGTTTATCGTTAACTATAAGCGATCGATCGAAGTTATTTTCTTTTTAGCGCATTTTCTCATTTATGGAAAAAATGCACTATTGTGCTCGTCATGTCCGTCTGTCTGTCCGTCTGTCTGTCCGTCTGTCTGTCCGTCTGTCTGTCCGTCTGTATGTCCGTCTGTCTGTCCGTCTGTCTGTCCGTCTGTATGTCCGTCTGTCTGTCCGTCTGTCTGTCTGTCCGTCCGTCTGTCCGTCCGTCTGTCCGTCCGTCCGTGACTTCACGTTTTCGTCGACGAGAAAATGCGCTCTCTGTCACCCACTGCAGTGAGTATTGAGTTACACTTTTTTAATTTCAGCTTCCCTATAAAATTGAGAACTTCGATTAACTTTTCCCAGCAGTTAGCTATAATATTTATGACGAATTGATGTTGATGAATGATGCTGGGTATGAAATTTACGTATTTCATTTTCAGAATTTATGGATATTTAACGCTTTTTCAACGTAGATAAACGTTTCATATCTATGACTAATTAATTTATTGATATCAAGGTAATATATCGTTCAGTACCAATGTTTTTTGTCTCAATTTTATATTCGTCAACATGAGCAAGAAAAGATGATCAAATAATATCTGAATTATTGCCACGTCCCCTGTATTGGTAATAGGTTCTATTTAAATACACCTTATGCGCCAGGTGGGTAAATGTCTATAGGCTACACTATTCCTAAGTCAATTGTAGATCTGACGAGGTTTCTCAACGGCAGAGAATTTGCCTTTTTTATTTGCTTACTATTCTAAACAAATGCTTAATTTATTATTAAACTTTCCCTCAACTTCGAACGCACTTTTTTCAGTGTTGCTACAATAACTACTTAATTTATTATCTTTTCGCATCTAGGTCCGACAGTTCAATAAAGTCTCGACTCGTGCATTTCGTAATTTACGTTATAAATTCATACAAATTTTATTTCCTGGTTTTTAAAAACGGAAATGCATCAACCTGAAATCATCAAGAAATTGTAAGAAAAACATTTGAAAATATAACATTGGCATTTTCCTCGATACCGACAACATCATTAAATTGTTCGCCAATAAGACACTGCCAGCACGCGGCAAGTTAGTGAAAGATATACATGGAAAATATTATACGCACCTCTTAATAAGGTATGGAGTAATTTCTTAAAGTGAGGCGCAAATCTCTTAAGCAATCTACACTTTGCAATTTCCCGGCGCCGGAGCAATACGCTACCGCATTCAAATGGCCAGCAATTGCTGTCGAAAAAAGCTCATCTGTTGCCGACATGGAAAAAAAAAGCGTTTCAAACTCACAAACCTGCATCAGAGATTTAGAAAAATTCAATGTAGAAATATTTCAGTTGAACACGTATAAATATGATATTTTTCCGTAAATAATTTCACAAGGTGCAACATCATGTAGTCTTTTTACGTACACTCGTGAACAATCGGCCTGAAACCTGCATGTAAGATTTAAAAAAAATTCAATGTAGAAATATTTCAGTTGAACCCGTATAAATATGATATTTTTCCGTAAATAATTTCATAAGCTGCAAACATCATGTCATCTTTTTACTCGTGAATGATCGTTTTCGTTATTTTCACGAATAATCTCTGGTATCGGGCATGTGTCACTACGATTGAATACGATCTCAGTGTTAGCCGAGGTTTCCCAAATAGGGCTTTGCGTAGCTATGAATTTATAGCGCGTCTGGACGAAAGACTTCATGATGTACGGAGATTTTAATGCCACCGTAAATCAGAGCGCAACTTGTACGGCAAATGACATTAATGCTCGAGCGCAACTCATTAAAATCCATTGCTTTACTGACTATCTCAAGGATTACTCGCCGTACAGGTAATTTCGCGGTACAGGTAGAGACGGCATTTCGGATGTGAGCAGATTTGGTACGAAAGGACAGTAAAGTATTTTCAGTTAGCCAGGTGGTGACGAATACATTTTTTAAAAAATGATAGGAATATCATAATGAATCTTACAATAATTGTAAAGACGGACAAAAAAATCGCTATCTAACGCATCGGATATATTTTTGATTAAAGTTCAGCCATTTTGCCTGATTTTTAAACGTAACCATAACTTACAATATACATCTTACACTTTTTCTTTACTTTCGCCTCAGACAGCCACGTTTTTCAGTGAGGAAATATATAGTTTTCAATGACAATTATAGTGATTTTCAGAGCAGTGAACAATTTTCATAACACATTTTATGCTTGCTGCAGTTGCTACAGCAGCAACAATTAGGCACCTACAGCGAAACGGTTAAAAGATATTTGGTTTCATCATATTTGGTTGTTTGGTTTGGTTTCAAGTCGAAATATAATTTACACCGAACAGTATACTGCAAAACACAATGTTCAATGCATTTTCAAGTTATATAAATCCTGAGAATCACACGGATGAAAACTATGAGAATATATGAATTTCGACTAGTAGTGCCTCCAGTATTAACATTCTCAGGATCAGTTCGTGGTAATCCAGCAATCTCAATGAGTCGATCATGACGCACAATGTCGTACTTAACAAAGGCACTAAAATCAATCACTAAGTACCTTCAGGTTGCACGGTCCACTTATTCTCCTAGTCGCCAGACTGATTGTTTTGTGCATGAAATGAAAAAGTCTTGTGGTATTGCCAAAAAATATAGTTTATTCCAGCGTATCGAGTTTGAGCATCTAAAGGGTCACTGAAGCGAAGGGTGCGCGTTTCCGGCGTAGGGAAGCTGAGAGCGCGCATGGAGAACACTCACGCACCTGCTATCGATTGCTGCTCTATTGCAGTCACGAGTCTACGATTACCAAGGAATATGTTGATTGCAACAAATAATATATTGTATTATAAAATAATAAAAGTCTAACACAAATTTTCCTACAAGTATAGTGCGTCAACGCGCGCTTGTCATTGATTGCTGCTCTATTGTAGTCAAAAGTCTACGATTACCAAGGAATATGTTGATTGCAACAAATAATATATTGTATTATAAAACTCTAACACAAATTTTCCTATAAGTATAGTGCGTCAACGCGCGCTTGTCATTGATTGCTGCTCTAACGAAGCCACTATGGAGAAATACTTTCTATGCAAAAAAGAATGTGTTTAATGATTATAAATATTCCGATATGAATAAAATTTTTAATTTAATTTAGAGCGCCCGCTCTTGATTCTTACTTTATCGCAATCAGAAATAATCGATCACTAAAGAATAAATTCTTAACAACATAGAACAGATAGTGACGATCTAAACAATATCCATATATATAGAATTATAAATTTCACATAGTCTTCGACTAATTTTATATCGGAGTGGAATTTAACTTCTATGTATCAAGAAAAAGCATGCAGAATGAGCCAGCAGTCGTTGGTCACGGCAGGCTCAGCGCAATGGCACCGCAATGGCAAGATGCTATCGGCAAGGCATCTTACATTTACTACTTGCTTCTCCCCAGTCCACTCCGCGGCCGGTTTTCAAGTCTCCTTGATTTATCGCAAGGCCATTAAAGCGCGCCAGCAATAAACGTAACCTGCAGATTAGGACGTAAAGTGTAAAGTGGCATTACGCTCTTTCGAGCAAAGCAAAGTCCAAATGTAAATCAATAGAACCATAAATAACAAATGTCTGGTGCAGGTTCCTTGCTGGCTGACCACGGGTATGCCTCAGTGCCTTCGTTTCAAGGCCGCTTCGTGGCCGGCCATCTTTGCAAGAATTCCAGGCCAGGAAAATGTCAAGCATGTTTTTGTGATAACAAGGAAGACGTTTAGGCATAAACGCGTCTTGTTTTCTCATTTTAATTATTTTGATTCGTCAACTCTCGGTCTGTTTGTTATTAACCTAATTTATATATTTCGATCCATAATACCGCCATAATTCGTCAAATTTCCCATTATTGTGGCACTTCGTATGTAAAATTATTAAATTTGCTGTAAAACTTGTCGTTACCGCGGTAAAATGAACAAATAACATGAGAACTGACAACCAGCTTCGAAGTGTCCCATAACCTGATCACTTAAATTATAGATGTGAATAACAGATGAATATCATGCGAAAATCTTGTGAAAATCACGCGAATTTTCGATGAGTATCATGTCAAAATCTTGTGAATTATAGTTGAATATCATGTGAAAATTTTACGAATTATAGATGAATATCATATCAAAATCTTACGAATTTTAGATGAATATCATGTGGAAATCTTGTGAATTATAAATGAATATTATGGGAAAATTTTGCGAATTTAAGATGAATATCATGTCGAAACCTTGCGAATTATAGATGCACATCATGTGAAAATCTTGTGAATTATAGATGAATAAATAAGCACCCACGAGCCTGCGTTTGAATACTCATTGAGGCTTCTGCTACTTAAATATAAATTCCTTCAGTTGACCATTGCTTCTGCTATCGTTTTGATGGGAACTTAAGTCAAGATTTTCGTTGGTCTCGTTAAACTTAACGAGTCTTGAAGTAATTTCGTGCGAAGGTGATTGCGGGTTAACTCTAAAGGAGCAACCGCAAGGAGCTTTGCGTTCACGCTACGCAAGCTGCAGGGCCATTGTACATTAACAAAAACATTGACTTTATGTACAATAGGAATGCAAGGGAGTACAATTTCTTTAGCAAAAACTCTTTTCGTGGGACGTTTGCACCTGATCAATATTTATCTCCAGTGGATCGCCGGTTAACAATATAATGAGTATTTACTGAAGCAAAAATTTGACACATTGCGCTTTATTTATTATGAAAAATATATTTTATATATAAAAAATAATTTTAATTTTATATATAAAATATATATATATTTTAAAATATATTTAATAAAATTTGACTCCACAGCTTTATTAAATAACACAAAGAGCTACACACAAATGCTAGACAAAGTGCATGGGAATATAAATAATGTTTAATCGATTTGTTTGTGTGGCTTATCGACACGAGTTGCGAGTGACGGTCAAACATCACTAGCAGAACAGCTCTTTAACAAAGCCGAACAAGATGTCATCGAGCAGCATTGAGTGTCGTGTAAACATTATAATTTTACCAAGTTCTTATCTCGCTGCCACATATCCCCGGGTCAACCGAGGCGTATTGATCTTGCTACCATGCCGTCGAGCTGTGTATTTTTGATACAGTATTCCAAATACGCTCGCATTAAGACTAGACATTCTAATGGCATTCGTGTTTCTTCAAACACTGCAGCGGAACGAATTTAAATCAACAATGAGTAATATTATTGCTTCTTGAATGCCTGTGCGACACAATATTGAGCATTTGAAAGAAAATTTTTAATTAACGTCCATTCTGTTTTCAAATTTCATTTTACAAATTTTTCTAAAGGATTGAATGCATGATCTTAACTCCCATCTACATCATAGAATCATACGATCAAAGGCAGGCACGAAATTGTTGGGTATATTTATAGGCGAGGTAAAGTAGTTCTTTAATACAGGTTTTGTTAAAGACCAAAACGTAATTCCTATCAATGATTCTCTCATTGTTTTTCTGACTTTTTCGAATTGAACTTTTTGTATGACATAAAACTTCGAATATGAGGTTACCAAGGGCCATTTTTGTCAGTGAAAGAAACAATAAAGTAAAGTTTCACGTTACGTTCAGTAAAGTGAAAACTTTTCAACACTTGAGATTTTTCCAACTTTATACATAATATAGATTAATTAATGAATTAGCGGACGAACAAATAAAATAATTTAAACTCACCCGAGACTGGGGGAGGCCGCACGTCGAGTTCGGGTGAAGACTTGGGGCTGTGGCGATGCGATTCCTTCTTGGGGGAAGTGACGCAAGGTTGGGGAAGATGAAGCCCCATGTTGTTCGATCCCACACCTCCACCTCCAGCTGTGGAAGTCAAAATTCCACTCACGCCCATTGAACTTCCACCGCTAGCGGCAGCCATCACAGCGGCGGCAACGGCAGCAGATCCGCCGTTGTTGCAGCCGTTGTCGCCGGACCCGCCGTTCATGAGTCCATTTCCGCCACCGTGGCCACCGGCGGACAAAGACGGTGAGGAAACGGCAAGGCCGCCGCTAGCGGACACAACAGCGGCCATCGCTGCTGCGACGGCTGCATTTCTGCTCTCTTGCGTTATAATTTCTGTAAGTAAAATTGTTAAAGGGTCACTTTTTATCATTCAGTTACATTTTCCTGTACGTAAAATTTGTAAATTTCTTTGTGTTCAAATAGTGATTTGAACTATTAATATCAATTCTCTAACCCATTTGACCTAAATTTCAATCATATGGTACCTGGAATGTAAATCTTGCACAGAAATGTGGCTCCACATATGTTACTTAACAGAATTAAATTCGCCAAAACCAGTGTAATAATCTCAACAGAAGGGAAATCAAGTCTAAAATACTGGGAAATGCCTTTAACCTTACTTGCAAAACCCCTATACCTTAAAACCCATATACCTTAAAACCCCTATGCCTTAAAACCCCTATACCTTAAAACCCCTATGCCTTAAAACCCCTATACCTTAAAACCCCTATACCTTAAAACCCCTATACCTTAAAACCCCTATACCTTAAAACCCCTATACCTTAAAACCCCTATACCTTAAGACTCTAACCCAACCCTGAACAAAGTTCCCGTCCCACGACATCGGCCCGAGCTTCTAAGCTAAAAAATTGCATCGTGCGATCGAAAAAGACAGGCGGCTAGGCGCAAGATAACTGGGGAGATACAAATTAAAAACTTCCGTTCCAGGAATGACAAAGGGTGACGTTCGATCTGAGCAAGAATTAATCTGCATTAAAAAAAGGTAACACCGGAAAACTGATGGAACTATTGGACCAAAAAGTTTGTTCCATAACTCCCAACTTTCCGGTGAGTCTGGCACCTCTGTTTTGATCTTGTTTAATCGAGTTTTGTCAAGCATGAGGGCTACAGAACAAACAAAAATTTGGCGATATAAATCATGTTTCTGATTATATTGCAAAATCTTAGTATTCTAACCACAAGTGAAATGATTATATATAATAACCGAAATATACATAGTTGATATGCACAACCACATTGACGTCGAAATAATAATAAAAAATTATACAAATAAGGAAGAATAATCGTGAAGGCAGATCTTTTTTGCAACTTCAGGAAAAAGAATGCCGGGAAAGCCTAATAAAAACTTGCAGTCGAGAGATCAAGTTCATAAAAGACGGATTAATAAAATCAGTTCGCTGGAGCGCAGCAATTGAGACGCGAGAACCGAGCGAGGGAAGACATAAAAGTTTGCATTCGACTTTTGATTGTTCTTTGCTGAATTCATTACAGTGAATGCCGATGAAAAGAATCTCCTAATTGAGCAATCTTGAATGTACCGTCGGTCTGACTGATTTTTTGCTTAATTTTGCGAGCTCAAGATCTCAGAGAAAAATTAGTTGCAAAAATGTTCAATGTTAACGCTACGTAACAACTCTAATGATGATTTCCTCTGCTGATTATTAGAATGTAATCAGTTTTGTTCCGTAGAGACATCACATCTTAAGGAAAATAGGACATTATTTAAATCCAATAAATGAGAAAAAAAATTAAAACATCTGAGACAGGTTTTTAATCTAAGAAGATTCAGTAAACGTTTTCCGCATGTATTGAATTTGTGACCTTTTTCATCAATGGAAAAGCCGTCTTTATAGATAATGACTGAGATTTTATACCTATTGTGAATCCAAATAAATAACGTAGTGATTCTTCTAGAATTGATGCGTACGCCCAAAAATTCCAATTCGCGTTTTTTCGTTAACCGAACGGTATGCAAATCAGACATCTGTTCTCATTCCAATAATGGGATTGCTTGTTCTGCTCTTCGAATCTCAAACCTCGTTCTTCATTTTTCCCCTCAGCTTATAATTTCAGTAATTTGGGAACTATTAGTGTCAGCTTTAAGAAAATATCCGGTGTGTGAAGTGGAAACAGATATTTTCGCCATTGGCAAACACTTGTTTCAATTTAGCATCAAAAGGGTGCATAATTCAACAACGTATAATTCAACATCATACGGAATAATTTTCCAAGATAAACATTCCACTTTTAATTTTCGATTCAGCGGCAATATTTTACGATATTGTTATTTCTTCAAAATATTCGCTGATATACATTTTTTTCGTCTTCAATTTCCCAAAAGAACCATTCCTGGAGACTCGCAGTTCTTTGAAGTCATTAATTTGATGCTGTGGCCGAAGTAATGCTGGTGCAATGACCAACGTAGTGCTGATAAGGTTGCTAATGTGATGCTGATACTGTTGCCAACGTGATGCTGATACAATTTCTAATGAGATGATGATACTGCCAATAATTAGATGATGATACAGCGGCTTATGTAATGCTGATACAATGGCTAATGTGATGTTGTTACTGTGAATAATGAAATGCTGATCAAGCGGCTAATGTGATGCTGATACAGAGGCTGAAGTAATGCTGATACAGCGGCTAATGTGATGCTGATACAATGGCTAAAGTAATGCTGATAAGGCTGCTAATGTGATGCTGATACAATGGCTAAATTAATGCTGATACAGCGGCTAATGTGATGCCTGTCTCTTATACACATCTAGATGTGTATAAGAGACAGTGGTAATCCAGCAATCTCAATGAGTCGATCATGACGCACAATGTCGTACTTAACAAAGGCACTAAAATCAATCACTAAGTACCTTCAGGTTGCACGGTCCACTTATTCTCCTAGTCGCCAGACTGANTAATGCTGATACAGCGGCTAATGTGATGCTGATACAATGGCTAAAGTAATGCTGATACAGCGGCTAATGTGATGCTGATACAGCGGCTAATGTGATGCTGATACAATGGCTAAAGTAATGCTGATACAGTGGCTAAAGCGATGCTGATACAGATTCTAAATTAATGCTGATACAGCGGCTAATGTAATGCTGATACAGTGGCTAAAGTAATGCTGATAAGGCTGCTAATGTGATGCTCGTTCAAGAATTAATGCGATGCTCGTACAGAGGCTAGCGCTCCTAAGAGGATTGTCGGAATTCGTCAATTTATTCGCAGGCGTAAAATGAGCACATCTGAGGTGGCGCAATTTAGCTTTGTTGTACTCGGGAGAACCTCAGAAGCAGCTTCTCATTTTCCTGAGCAGATAAAAGTGATGCCATACGTGGGACTGCCTTCGCTGTACTGATGAGTTCGCTTCCTTTTGCTTGCTGGTGCGGGATTTGGAGATATTTTACTTAGGTTTTATTGTGTGTATTGATAATGTAGATTTGGAGATATTTTACTTAGATTTTATTGTGTTTATTGATAATGTAGATTTGCGTGAGTCTGAGGAGTTATTTTCGACTGAAAATAACTCATGAAAAAATGCGAATAATGACACATCGCTCATGTAAATCTCCCAATCTAAAAAAAATTACCAAAGAAATCTGTCTATAACAGCACTATTGTGAACGCATCATCTCATTGGGAGTGCTTGCATCAGTTTAATTATTGTATTTTATTTTAGAGTGAGTTTGAAATAATGTGAATAATGACGTATCGTTCATAGTAATGTCCCGATCTAAAAAGAAACAAAATTACCTAAGAAATCTGTCTAAAACAGCACTATTGTGAACGGATAATCTCATTCGGAGTGGTTGCATCAGTTTAATTAATGTATCAATCGACAGTGTATCATCAATGTATCAATCTCTTAATTGATATTCAGTGCTATCAGAACATTCCTCCAAACCCACATTAATTGTTCCTTGTGTATTTTAATTTCATCAGTTCATCCCGCATTGTTCCTTTCTTATTCCATTATTGACGTAGGGTTTATTACCGCAGGATTTATTACCCAATGTTTTTACGTAGGATTTATTATTACGTAGTACGTATTTATTACGTAGGATTTATTACCGCATTATATTACGTAGGATTTATTACCGCATAACTAATACTGAAATGAGTTCCGATCACCTGGCCTAACGTCTCCTGTTCTGCTCCCCTGGCAATGGTCTTCTTCTCGAGATCATTTCCTAATTATTCCAGGGAATTTTTGTTAATTGCGGAGAATCATTAAGGGCCTGGATGATTTTTAAGGAAATTCTACCCCGGATCTGAGGGGTCTGGGGTAAAAATGGCACGCTTGGGGCCGCTGCATGCGTGTTTAGGGCCACCGTACATGGCAGGAGGCGGCCCATTCATAGACTATAAGTCTATTGATGATTACATTGAAATAAATATTCCTTATAAGTATTTCATTTAATCAAAATACAGTGGGTGCAAAAAGTATCCAACACAAAGGAAAAACTTTATTATTTTGAACCTTAACTTTTACAAAATTGCAATTATCAAGTCAACGTTTAATGATATTATTTTTTGATTTGATAAATGTATTTCCCTTGTAAATTCACATTAGAATAATGTTTTTTTGTGTTGTTTTGTGGATAAGCTTTAATTAAATAAAGTTTTTCTTCTGCGTAAGATACTTTTTGCACCCACTGTAGGATTATTGAAGCAATTCATCTTGTAATTTAATTTATTGTTATGCAATCGATTTTAAGAATATATGTTAAATACAAAAATGTATCTTGAAGAATCAATACATTTTAGGATTAAGGTACAAATTATTATTTTTAAAAGTTTCTGCCAATTCAAGGCCTACAAACTTCCAAAGAACTGCCTCCGATACTGCAACTGTATTTTGCGTAGGGTAAGAGTTGATCGAGAAGCACGCTCTCGTCAGGCGAAGCAAAAGAAAAGAAGGCAAACCTTTCGAGCAGAATTAATTAGACGAAGGATCGATGATGGGCACAAAAATGCTGCAAACTTTGTCAGAATGATTGCTTAATTGCAAGAGTGTTGTTCGGCGATACCTCTCCATTTGTTGCCGCTTCGGAAAATTCTGACGCGCCTGTCTGGAGTTCTCCAAAGAAAATGTTTCCGACTATTGTATAGAAAAAGAAACTTGTGAGGCTGTTAGAAATGCGCGCGTGAAAAAGTCACTTCACGTGCACCTTTCAAATGAATTCATCATTTATTTTTCTAGCAGAGGATCATTGTTTTGAGAAGTTGATGTTCTTTAGAATATGAAAGGAAAATAATGTGTGTCCAATAAGGTGCTTTCTTAAAGACACAAAAAGGTTATTATTCAAAGGAATTATTTTCTTTACTATACGTCGTGAATTCAATACTTTGAATAAAATTTTATATTCTTAGCTAATTAAGTTTAAGTTAACTAGGCAAATTAATAATTACGTTATAGTCAGGCACTAGAAAAAAGGAACACGTTATAATTGTTTTGATATTATCAAGATACCGAACATTATCGAGTCTGATTATTCAAGGAACATTATAACATAGTTCAAATTTTTTCGGGAAAATGAGCTCATATCAATGCAAAGATATTAATCACATCTATTGATTAATTAAAATCTTTAACGCGACTTTTAGTTCTTCCATCGATGTTCATAGCCCCGGCCGCTTCTCGTTGATAGGGGAAAGCGGGGTTACAGTGGGACACGTCAATTATTTTATTTAATCAATAATAATATATAACAATAGTTTGAGGTGGTTGGTGCGTCTAAGTTAGTGCATTGATTGATGTGATAGAGCGACGTGTTGCCTTGTCCTGCATTCTTCAGTGAGCTACATTTTTTAAGGTAATGTAAAATAAAGGCAACTAAATAATTTGCTATCCATATTAAATGTAATAAGAGTGCTCAGTTTGCGAACTAAAGCTCTCATGTCTCATTTTTTGCTAAATAATAGGTTCAAAATTAATTACATAAGATGTATAGTTACTTGATTCATTGATATTAAAATGTAGTGCGAATCTAAATGTTGGTTTGAGGTACAATGGGACAGTGTCCACGTCCCAGGACATTCCTATTATTCAAGTCGGGACCGTCCAATATGAAAATTAATGTCCGTTCATAACCATATTTTCGCTGAAGGAGATATCTGACTCTTGGTCATCTTCATCTGAAGAAAATTTTCATCTCTATACAGAATTCATCTGATGCAATAGAAGAAGAATTAGTGCAGGAAAAAAGTTCAAAAATCTTTCCTGCCATTTTAGAGATAATGAAAGCTCCATGATTCTATTATTCTATTCTATTTTGAATATTCTATTTTCACTGATCATCTTGGCTGGAGAACGAAGAAAAATGCGAAGATAACGAATTCGAAATATCTTGCTTACGTCGTAGAGAGAAGAGAATACGGAGCGTTTTTAATTTCCTGGTGTATCAGATCTTGGATCTGCAGTCAGCATGGGAGACATCAAAGTCGTTCTAAGCAACCCTACTAAATGCCCAATAACATCAAGATATGATTGTAACAAAGGAATTGATGCTATGTTTCATTTTGCATTTTGTTTTCTATAAAGGAAGTCAATAGTATTATTTTCAATTTAACTTTTTGGTCCATTGGACCCAACTTTCCCCAAACAGAACCATCGTAAAATTCCTATGAATAAGAATTCAGTTATTATTATTCCAATAATTTAATTCAATTCAAGTATTATTCTTATTAATTCTTATTATTTAAATTATTCTTCCAACAAAACACGGTTCAAGTTAATGAATGAACTTGATAAAATTGACTGGCAAGTGGATGCACTCCAAACTTGGCAAGATACCCTCCTGCAACATAATTGTAAACTTTTCATCGAATAAACTGTGAACTATCAAAAATTTAATATTTTGCTTGAACATCGACGATTCCTGATAATGCCGTCCTACAGCAAGGCCTCGAAAAGTCTTTTAAAGCTAATTTGCTCTCCATATGGTAGTTGAAACATCTCCATTTATATTTTCAAGAACTAATTGATGGTTTTATTCCGTTACTAAAAATCCAAGGAATTTTTTTCAGCTTCGGTGACCTCAACCAAGTCTGTTTAAGCTCGAGTTGGCCAAGTGGTTAAGATCACCAAGCATTGCAGCAGCGAAAAGCGACAAATTGCGAAAATTTTGGGTGGTCGGGTGGGAAAGCATCGGCTACCGACCAAGATGACTTAATTAATGGTGACACCATTAATTAATATTGCACATAATATATATTTCTCTGCTCACCTGAAGTCTTGAGAAGCTCTTTGACGCCGCTAGGCTCGTATTGCGACAACCTCTTCAGTTTCTCGGTCAGTTCTTCCTCCAGTCGTCTTCTGGCGCGGCGCTCACGCTTCAGACGTCGCTGGTACAGCTCTAGGTATCATGAATACCAATGCATTGTAAACATTCGTGTTCCTCAACATTGTTTTATATTTGTTTACTTTTGGAAGAATACCAATGCATTGTAAACATACGTAATCCTTAACATTGTTTTATATTTGTTTACTTTTGGAAGAATACCAATGCATTGTAAACATTGGTATGTTATAAACCTCAAACATATATAACATATATAGCATATATAAATATGGTATAAACCTCAACAGTGTTTTATATTTGTTTACTTTTGGAATCTTTTCGGTACTCTTGGTTATTTTTTATCTTATTTTTGGTAAGAGACAAAATTTCAATATAATGTACTTATCGTAATGCTCATGAGCCTTTTTTACCTTTTTGCTTCTCGTCCTCGACGAGCTGTTTTTCAAGTCGCTCCTTGATATCTTTCTGGCGTAGAAATTCTGTCCGCAGTTGTTCTGTTAAGGATTGATTTGCTCGATTAAAGTCAACTTTTGTGATATTTATTCAGCTGTATCCTCTGTACGCAATGACTTGTATAATTCTTAAGACTAGGTACTTATTGCAATCTCATTTAAGTTAAAACTACACTTTAATCCCGCTCAACTAGAAATGAATACGCATTTTCTTCTTTATGAATGCAAAAGTGTCAAAGATTTGGTTTACGAGCTAGTCTCAAAAGATTTGGTTTAATATCTAGTCTCGATTTGATATCAGCATAAATATAAATACATAAATAAATTTACAAAATTATGGTGATCCTATCCTCAATTATGTATTTATTTTCTCAGATTACATCTTACGTATATGCTTCATTTAAATAACACGTTCCTACTAATAATAAATAATCCTAAGGTCAAGTTTTTGAAAGAAAATTGGAGACCTTTTTGACGCTCCTCATGCCGCACGCTCTCCGTAGCCACCTTCAGGAGGTTCTGAATGTTCCCCAGGAGGTTCTCGAGGCTTGAGAGCGGGGGACCTGCGAGCCCCACCACCCCATCCCCTCCACCCACTCCTCCTGCTCCCCCAACGGGTCCCCCTGAGTGCTGGAGGCCGCTGGGAACGCCCTCCCCACCAGCGCCTAGACCCAACCCCATAAGGGCTCCTCCAAGGGGCAGGCCCACTGTGATGAGTAATTAAGGATGATTAATTTTTTGCGCATTTTCTCATTTATTGAAAAAATGCACCATTGTGCTCGCCATGTCTGTCTGTCTGTCTGTCTGTCCGTCTGTCCGTCCGTGACCACGTTTTCGACGACGAGAAAATGCGCTCTCTGTCACTCACTGCAGTGAGTACTGAGTTATATTTTTTTTAAATCTGCTCTGAATTTTGCAGCGAATCAAGTTTAATTTATTTGTTTGCGTCCATAAAAATTTCCTTAAAACCTAGTTTAAAAAATTACTTAAAAACTATTTACAAGAAACGGTAAACTACAGCCGCGAAATAAGTTTATCTCGTGTATATAACTTATAAATTTTTGTTTGAAATACCACGAAATTTTGCATTAATTGTATACCACAACCCATTTAATTTGAGCTATTCCAATGAAACGGTAAATTGTATCGGCATAATAAAAAATTTGTAGCGCATTTTCTCATTAATGGAAAAAATTCCTTATTGTGCTCGTCATGTCCGTCTGTCTGTCTGTCCGTCCGTCTGTCCGTGACCTCAAGTTTTCGTCGACGAGAAAATGCGCTCTCTGTCACTCACTGCAGTGAATAATGAGTTTTTTTTCTTCCATCTCCAAAAAAAAATATATTTCAAATTCAACTTTTATAGTATCGTCAAAAAATACGCAAGCACAAGTGCTTATTAAGACCATAAAAGTATTAAAATCACTTGGCTGCTTAAGTCGCAAATTTACCAGGAATTTAAAAGTAAAGAAAATAGCCAACTATAAAAGGTACGCGACTCACATGGATGTAACCGTTCGTCCAGTCGCTCAGGTGCTGTAGGCATCAACTTCATGATGCTGCCGGTGCTGCTGCTGCTGCTGTTGCTGCTGCCGCCGCTGCTGCTGTTGACAAGGCCCAACAAACCTCCGTTGCTGGTGGGCGGGTTGCCGTTGATGTTGTTGTTGTTAGTGCTTTGGTTGTTGTTGTTCAATGGGGATTTGAAGGAGCGTTCCGTGAAGTCGAAGTCGTCGTGGTCGCTAGTGTCTTCATTCACGGAAAAGAAAGCAAGAAATTAACACGGAATTATGTGATCACCTCCGCACAGATTTTAATTAATGTAACCATTAGGTAAGTGTGAAATGCTATCAATAATATTTCATTATTGATTACAGTCTCTTTGAGTTCTTCGTTGGGCAATCGGAGCGTCGTTAGAAAAATGCAACTGCACACTTTGACCGACTTGGTGAAAATTTACCGCGCAAAATTAATGTACTTATATATCAGTCTGCCAAATGATTCTTGAATGATTGAAGGAATCCACGTACAACATGCAACATAGTTAACATCCACGTACAACATACAACATAGTTAAAACTTACCGTTTTTATCGTCGAAATCGTCATTATCTGACAGCCCTTCCTCTTTCTCGTGGTCATCATCAGTGGGCTGTAGCTGTGGGTGCCGACCAAGAAGAGTATGGTGATTGTAAGCACTAAAATTGGTCAGGTTGTTCGAGTATTTCGAGTTGGAAGAATCCCTTAGTGGTGACGGCGAAGAATCGGCTCTGCCTCTGCCGTTCACGGTCGGCCCTCCGCCGGCCTCACCACCGTCACGCTCGCCGTCCTCGCTGTTGCCTGCCCTGTGCGACCCTAAGCCGGCTTCGCTTAGGTCTTCGTGTGAGTCTGATTTGCTGCTTAGGTTCAAGACGTCCGCATCGCCGTAGCCTGATGGTTGTGACAAATAAAAAAACATTTGTATATGTAGGCTAAATTTGACATGAATCCAGTTAGGATGTCGTCTTAGGCGTAACCTTGCCGTTTGAAAAAGATGTATTCTGTGTTAATACAAATGAATAGTTGGAGAATTTATTTATTTCAAAATTTTAGGCGACGCTTTTACCTTGCAGTTATAAAAACTTGGCGATAAATACTTACAGTATTCGTCCTGCTCCCTACCAGTTTGATATACTCAAGGTCGAGAACAACAACATAGACAGTAAACAAAATTAATTCTAGGCCCAAAATTTTAAATATCTACCTTATATATTTTGACCAACTTTATGGAGAATAATCCCTCCTTTCATTTCATCCCTGCGATTTTTACTGCACTTATTTTAATAATTTCCTAAAATTAGGAACGTCTGAAGTCCACTCACCGTTCGCTTTACTTGGAGTTTCCCTATCAAGATTTTCCCGTTCTTCTCGATCCAGTCCCAAGATCCTGTCCGATCGATTTTGATCCTCGCGGAATCTGTAAGAATTACAATACAAATCTCGCTGAAAAATAGTAAGTAGCCCAAGTTGGTGATGACTCAGCAAGTTAAGACACAAAATTAAATGCAATTAATATGAACGGAACCGGAAAAATAATATAAGTGGAAGTGATCAATTTATTCTCGTCTGCTTTAATTAAATCCAAGATATTAAAGTTAACTTAATTGTTCTTCTACGGTCTTCTAGTAGCGCATGAACTTGAAACATGGCCAAAAACACAGTGTTCGTGTCCTCCATTCCTTCTCCATTAAATGGCAGATTATTCAAGCTGACCAAAAATGTCTATCGACAAGACGGTGCCATTAAAATCATCGTTCTAGGTACAGCCTGAAACATCCTGCTCACGACAGACATTTGTATTTGGCTTGCGATGGATGACCTGAATGAATAATTGAATAGAAATTAACACCTTATAGGCAGCATGAATAGCCGCCCAGTTCAAGGCTGTATCCACGAAAAATTGAGCCTTTGCACCAGTATGGAAAAGGGGCGCGAGATTCGTGAGAAGGGGCGATTATTCGAGATGACCAACGAAAAAAAAGGATGGTGTAAGAAAGCACTACACTATAAGCTGGTGCTATCAACTCCATAACTTGCACAGCTCATGACTTGCAGTATAAACAAACTGCTCATACATGAAACTATTCCCATTTGTCTTTAAAGTAAGCGGTTAATTCATGCAAAATTATTCGATACTAATATACACTGTTGATGTGTACTATATTTGGAGAGGGCTTCACACTCACGAAAGTTTTCAAGTTCTTATTGTGTACATAGATTCCATTTGACTTGTTTTTTATTACTGAATTCTTATGGTACATCGAAATATAGGGTACAGTCAGTTCATTTCTTGCGCTATAAAGTTTATTCGATTAGACAAAAGTCCTCATTTCATACTTCTATTTCAATTATTCTTTTATCTCGATAACTTGAAACAGTTATTCATAGTTTTCTTCTATACATCTGTGCGAGTTCATATTTTTTTACATACCTTACTCCGACCATGAGAATTGCATTCGTGTTTTGCAGTATTCTAGCTTATTCGTAATTTAACTTCCACCCGAATTGCAATGGTACGGTACTTCAATAGTGCACCTTTCTCTATTTGTTCACACGTGTTAGTGAATATAAAGCCTACCGCAACACGATGGCTTAAAAACAAACGTGGCTTTCCCCTCAAGGTTCTATGGGTGTTTGTTAAAGCAAAGGGTTGGGCGTGGAAGTTCTCGAGGTGTTTCCATCCGCCCCTCAGAATCAATCTTGCCAACTTGGGCCTTCATTTGGGACACCCTTCATCCTCGAAGAGCTGTAGGCGCAGTCCAATCTCTCACCTCCATCAACATAATGGATCGGAACCCTTATTACTACTTGATCACCCACCTAATCGCAAAACCAATCACCGAAGCTTATATACAAAATAACTCGATATCTGCAACATAATAAAGAGTTGAATTTGGGCCAGTGTATAGGCCTATGGAGGCTGCTATAAGTGCGAATTCTGCCCATAGGCTCGCTCTGCACTGGATTGTTTAGCTGGCATGATTGCTCAAACCTTGTTGGAGTCAGACATTGTTCAGGGAGTGACTGACTGGTGATAAACGTGTACACTTTTACCAAGAAATCATCGTTTGAATTAAAATAATTCTGCATTTTTAAGCGTAAAAAAGAGCAAATCCGTTATCAATTGATTTTTGGATCCCAATCATCATCTTGATCATATTTTTTCAATTTGCCGCAGACCAATACTTATCAATAGCTAATTTCTCTGACTTAGAAGAACGTTCAACGAAAATCTATTATGAATTGTGAAAGTTTGTGCATTTGAAGAATGTCACCGAAAAGGTATAAATAAAAAAATACGCACAAAAAATAATTACATTAAATAATTAAAGTGTTATTTTTACTTTTAGAAACGTAAACTTTATTTCGGAAAAAATTTCGAGTTTCCTTTCAATTTTAAATGCAGACTTATATAGAAATTTCGTTTCAAGTGGTGGTTTCGTATACCGCCACCACGTATGCCGGTGGTTTCGTATGCCGCCGTTTCGTCCTTCTAATTACGGCAATTTCGTTCCAAAATTATTAACTGCATTAAATAGGGGTTCATGATGACCACATGTGAGATGACGGGATTCGGAATGACAATTTTTCGTATTAAAAGAACAATCAGTCCCTGGCAACTCTTGGCAATTCTTAATCGATCAACCTAAAGAATCAATCGATTCTGTAGAGATTTTACGAGAAACAACGCTTGCTTCGACTTGCACACCGACAATTGTAATTATTACACAACGCCTTCGCCGTCACATTACTCACTACGACGTCGGCAAACGCTTAGCAATAGTGTAGGGTATCCGCGTGCAGCCGTGACATGAACACGAGGGGCTTTGTTATTATACGCCTTGTTAACGCTGCCGTACGCGCGCCCGACGTACGACCCGTCATCGTTTTCGCTAATTTACACGATGTGCGTTGAAGGACTTCCTCTTGTGCGCCACTTAGAGCGTCATACCACACGCGAGTTGTGTGAGGTACGTTGTGCGTATGGGTGGACTTAATTAGAAATCAGGTAGCCTTTGATGGCAAAGATATCAGAATTAGGCGCAATGCATCCCGAGAAATTATGCGTACATATGCGTACATATGCATAAATTATGAGTTTGGGAAAACTGAATCACGGACGGTGATCTGCTTCAGGAAAATTTACAGACATTCTTTGGTAACATGACGCAATGTTTTTCTTCTAATTTTTTACACTGCAGAAGAAACACTTTTACACTTTTTACACTCTCAATCTCCTACATCTCATTCCATTTTATTCACTTCTCTCTCCTCTTGCTTCGGGAATCCTTCCCAAACACCCCACTTTCTATCCTTCTCCCGTGCAATCAGCTCGCTTTTCCCTGGCCCCGCTCACCCACCGGCAGTTATCAGCAGCACAAAACAGTGCTAAGGAGTAACATAAGAAGCAATATTATGGAGAGCATTACCATAATTAGCCCTGTAACTGCTCGGTCCCCTCCGTATTATGCCTCTGCCTCACCACTGCTGCTTACACTCGACGTATTCTGGATACACTCGACGTATTCTGGATACACTCGACGTATTCTGGATACACTCGGCGTATTCTGGATACGCACGACGTATTCTGGATACATTCGGCATATTATGGATACGCACGCCTTTAAATACGGGCTTTACATATGAACTTTTCAATGACATCATCTACCGTGTTCTTGCAGTTGATGTGTTTGTTGATATTAAGTTATATCCTGGGTTGCGTTGCAAATAAAAGATATTGAATACAAGTCGTTTCGTAAAAGGTTCCCAGAAATTAAGCGCTGTTCGGGATTTCGTGGCATTACCATGTACCACGTTTTTTCGTACCTCTCTTGTTAAAAGTAAAGAATATATAGAGCAGAAATAACACCCGTAGAGAGACGATACTCTTTTGCGAAAAGAGTTTATTTCTATACGAGAGTTATCTATTCTTATTGAGTGCATATCTAGTTCCATATTAATCAAACTCATAAGATCTTGAACGATTTATTTCGTTAAAAATTTATGATACTACCACGTTGCTCACCTGTCAAGCTGCTTGAGAACCTCATCGTACGAAGCTCGGCACGCCAACGATCTAAGAGAAAAAAAATCGCAGCCAATTAAAATGGAAATCGAAAAATGTTTCTGTGACCCAAAGAACTGGATGTAATAAAACCTTTCAATGTACTGTATTGCTGAATAATTTTCGACTGACCAGTTCTCTGAATATCATGAAAATTTAAGGCAATTTCAATTAAATTTTTTTTTTTTTGAGGGAAATTTCAATTTTGCACACTTAGTGCCCTAAAGAATCAATCGATTCTGTAGAGATTTCATTTTTTTATATTTTTTTATTTTAAAAAATTTCAATTAGTTCTTTACAAGTAAAAAACTGTAGAATTCATAAGGTACTGACCTCGCAATGGCCTCCGGGTGAGGGCTCGCTTTAAAAGCCATTTCTGGGTGACCATGCGGTTGCTGCAACGGTTGAGTCCACGGGGCCGCCGGGTGAGGGGGCAACGGAAGGCCCCCGTGGGCCAAAAGTGCTGGGTGAGGCAGGGCCCCACCGTTCAGGGCCATGTATTGGGCCATGAAAGCTTTAGGGGGCGCATTGTAACCATTCGCGAGGAGGGGGGACTGGGCAGGGGGGGCGCCTTTTGGAAATTAGAGCGCGGCGGCAGCGCCGGATGTATCACGCACGCGGATAGTCGGAAAATGTAAAAAAAATCGATTTTCCAAATAAAATATGACAAAAACGGGGTTTTTAGCCGATAAAAATTAATTTTTGAACAAAAATTTGTTTACATTTTGAACCATGAGATTGCATATAATCGCAAATCACGTATTTTTGAAGAATTTGTAAATAAAATATTTAAAACGGATGAAATCCGTCATTGTGGATAATTTCGTAAAAATGCCAATTCGTTCAGTATGAACATTTTGTGGAATTAAATAGCATGAGTTATGTCCAAATTTAACAGACGTGGATTGAAAATTTTTTGGGGGTATTTAATTGTCCGTGAAGAGATTTTCGAGAGTAGTTATTATGAAGTAGTTATGAAGAGAGTAGTTATTCAGCAATAGGATAATAATAATAATATCATTTTCGGTAGAGGAGGCGGTGTGTGTGGAGTGGGATGAGACCAGGGAAAGAAAAAACATATTTCGAGTTAGTAAATAATATTTTAAAAGGTTTATATGAGTTAATATCATTTATGACATGAATCTGATTCTAATACACCTATCTAAAAATTCAATTTCATATACTTTTTAAATATAATTCCTGTACTAACCGACTGGGAATCACTCATTATGTTCAACATCTTATGACATCTTACACTGTACCACTCAATATAGAGGGGTAGTTTACCACACTCACTACGGGCTAGTTCACCACACTCACTACCTGTCTCTTATACACATCTAGATGTGTATAAGAGACAGCCCATGGACGGCTCCCACCTCACGTCCCATGAACGGCTCCCACCTCGCGTCCCATGAACGGCTCTGTAATCTGTCCCATCTCCCGCCGGGTGGCATATCCCGTTACGGACGGGGCATTGGCAGGACATCTTCCTACGAGTCCTACAAACGCTGATGATAACAAAGCTACGTCCTGATAACATCCACCACAAACACAGCCATGCCCTATTTGTCCTAATGCTTGCAGCCTCCACTCGACAGATGGTGATGAATGACAGTTCCGGTTCAACTCTAACAGCTTGGAATATGCGCGCTTTGTCAGAGAATGCAATTATTTATTGATTCTTAAAAGCTGTAAATTTGATTGAATATATTGCTACAAGTTCGTTCATTATTTGCCGACGGAACTCAGCATCAATTAAAATTTGAACTATCCTGCCAAACAAAATTTAGTTATTTAACTTGTGATCTAATTCACTGGCAAATACTCAGATAATTTCATATATAAGAAATAAAATGATATTAATACTATATAACTTATTTTTGTAGCACTACCCTAACTTTAATTGAAAAAGTTTAATCTAAAACTTTTCAGGATCTACTATTGGCAAACTACCCAGATGAAAATCTTTTTTCTTATATTTTCGAAAATTCTATTTTTTTACAAATTAATTTATCGATAAACCATTGCTCAATTACAAGCATCCACAAGGCGAAAGAGTCGTCAAGATATATTAGGAAATAAAAAATAAATTATTTATGATGAACACTTCGTTAAACTATTATAAATATTTAACAATCGAACATAATATACCTCAAACTTCCATTTCTGCTCCCATTCCAAAAATTTGTATGCGATGATAATGAATAGCACAAAACTCATGAATAATGGACCGTCATTAACCATCAACGGGTTAATTATACGTTGGCGCTAAGTAATTCATCAGGCGTCGCGTTCAACAGACAAGCGCGATGATGCAAAGCATAAAAAACCAAGCGTTGCCTCCGAATGCACGTGCGAACTTCCCAGCGGGAAGATGAAGATATCACGCGAACAGATCAATATTTTCCAGCCCTAGAAAAATAGTTGTTCCATGCAAATGAGGATTCTGGGTCTATATTTTAAAAAAAGTTAAGAGATCGTAAGTTCATCAGCCAATCATTGACGGCCTTTCAAGCCACTCTTTTAAAAACAGTTAAGAGATCGTAAGTTCATCAGCCAATCATTGACGGCCTTTCAAGCAAAATCCACCAATCATAGACAAGAATATAGACCGTAAGTATTTACGTTCACTTAGCGAGTTTTGAAAGTATGGCCCCAGAACGCGAAATCATGGGTTATTTCATATGTGCTGTTATAATATGCTATAAAAATTCGTAGTTTTGGTAAGGACGTTAGCATAGTATTTTTCACTTCTCTGGTTTCAAGGATGATTCTAATCATTTTTGTTAATAAGCTTGTATGTAGATTTTACGTGGGAATTTTTAGCTCGTGTGAACAGATGCACGGACAGTTCGTCGATAGGGTGTAACATGTGGTAATACAGGAGACGAATGTTGCGTTTGCAGAAGGCAGCCTCATTTAATTGGAATTGGAATAGTAATTTATAATTTACTGTATTATAAATGACTGAGTTTAATACAGAACTGTATAATAAATAAAAATTTTACTTTGACCATCGATGAGAAAAACCTTGAACCAGATTCACATTTAAGTTCCCCACATAAATATTTTAATTTCCAGCACAGTCATGATGAACTTCATCCATTCTTCTTGACATACATTCAACTTTTTACTGTAACTAATCCCAACCATTTAATTCCTCTTATTTCAAATCGCTCTTAATTTCAGATATGACTAATATATTTCTATTCGATTTTTTAACTCCATTCCTCTAGTCTTACATTCAACTTTTTACTGTAACTAATCCCAACCATTTAATTCCTCTTATTTCAAAGCGCTCTTAATTTCAGGACTGACTAATATATTTCTATTCGATTTTTGAACTCCATTCCTCTAGTCTTACATTCAACTTTTTACTGTAACTAATCCCAACCATTTAATTCCTCTTATTTCAACGCGCTCTTAATATCAGAACTGACTAATATATTTCTATTCGATCGATTTTTGAACTCCATTCCTTCTTGTCTTACATTCAACTTTTTACTGTAACTAATCCCAACCATTTAATTCCATTTATTTCAAAGCACTCTAAATTTACAATGTGACTAATATATTTCTATTCGATTTTTGAACTCCATTCCTCTAGTCTTACATTCAACTTTTTACTTTAACTAATCCCAACCATTTAATTTCTCTTATTTCAAAGCGCTCTTAATTTCAGATGTGACTAATATATTTCTATTCGATTTTAATTCTGGCATTGGCACAGCAAGCACGGCGGGGCACCACCGCTCGCTGCCCTCAGCTCGCTAATGATAAAATCAATAGATTCTGTGGCAGATAAAAGCCTCCTGCTAACTCACATCTGCATGAATTCTTCTCCCTGCCCTTCACATTTGTTCTTTGAGAGAAACTGTGAGGAACTGTATTTATATTAGTGCAGTTTAGGGCAATATTAAAACTAATAAATAATATTAATAAAAAGTATAAATATACAAAACTCAATAGCAATAGTCAAGGGTCATTTTCTCAGAGAAACTGTGAGGAACTGTATTTATATCGGTGCAGTTTAGGGCAATATTAAAACTAATAAATAATATTAATAAAAAGTACAAATATAAAAAATACAATAGCAATAGTCAAGGGTCATTTTCTCAGAGAAACTGTGGGAACTGTATTTATATCAGTGCAGTTTAGGGCAATATTAAAACTAATAAATTATATTAATAAAATAACATATATATAAAAAATTCAATAGCAATAGTCAAGGGTTATTTTCTCAATAGTCAATGTCGTTTAGCCTCAATTGTCATCTCAATCAATAGTCAAGGGTCATTTAGCAATAGTCATTTTCTTTGCTAGAAAATAGTTATTGCATGAGAAGTGTTATTGTAGTATATGCTCCAATCAGAAGTTGTTTGTTCTGCCGTTTACGTTTAAAGATATATTATGGGTCATGTGGAATGCGGCATGTTAGTCAATAGTAATGGTGATAGAGATTTGCAGAGATAATTCCTCTGAATATTCAAAGGGGAGATAAGTGGAGACTGTGGTGGTGGTGATGACAGATAAGCAGTGATGGTGTCGCTGCACATTCAGCTCACCACAGGCACAGCAAAGTTGCTGACTGTGGTGGTGATGGCAGAGATAAACAGTGATGGTGTCGCTGCACATTCAGTGCACCACAGGCACAGCAAAGTTGCTGACTGTGGTAGTGGTGATGGCAGAGATAAGCAGTGATGGTGTCGCTGCACTGACTGTGGTGGTGGTGATGGCAGAGATAAGCAGTGATGGTGTCGCTGCACTGACTGTGGTGGTGGTGATGGCAGAGATAAACGGTGATGGTGTCGCTGCACATTCAGTGCACCACAGGCACAGCAAAGTTGCTGACTGTGGTGGTGGTGATGGCAGAGATAAGCGGTGATGGTGTCGCTGCACCACACACACAGCAAAGTTGCCGGCCTCACCCCGACTCGTTAGGAATAACGTATGGGCAAAGTTCGGCGCGACACCGCAAAGCCGTTTTAGAAAAGGTCTTGCGAATGTTTCGCGGCGCCCGTCATCTTCGTAATGCCGACTCTCATCCCCGCCCGATTACGGAGCCAACTTTTGAATACTAATGATAAAATCAATACGCTTAATAAATCCCTTCAGAAAATTCCAGCTTCGCCACGCACTCTAGCCGCATTTTAAACTGAAGAGGTTCTTTAAACGACAGACATTACGAATAGACGGCCTGTATAAGTGACCTCGCTATGCTTAGATAACTCAGTAACTTCGTCGTGTCTATTACAATTTTAGAAGATCTTATACTTAGTAATACAGGTTCTCTGCTTAAAAATATTTTAGATTGAAAGCCCAATTAATAACCTGAATACTATTGACACATCGAGGGGTAGTGAAGTTTGCAAGAAACAAGCAGAAATCTCGAATTACATTGAATCCCTGTATTTTACTTACTCAATCCTTAATCTGTTCACTCAGTTATTCGAAAATGAATTCGAATCACCGATTAAATAAAGGTAGAGAAAATTATTGGAAATTGGCTTAAAAACTAGCACAAAA